AATATGTTACCCCATCAGCGTCCTGAAAGATCAAACTGGGGCAGACAATTCCTCTGTTGACTGCGGGAGTTCATGTAAAGAATAACAAAAAAAATGTTTGACTGCACCTCTGACAATAAGAAAGAGAGAAAATTACATTAACACATCACGCACTCACAAGAAACGCACGGCTTCCAAGGGACAGGGGCATTAACGACGGACTGCATGTCTATTCCCAATGGCAGTGCCTGCTGGAAGAAGGCTTACCTACAAATATGCGAGTCGTGGGGGTTGTTTGACCATATTTCACCACGTTGGTCGATGCATGTTGGGGAAGGTGCTGTGCATGGATGTTGGAGCATCGTCGAGTCCAACAACGGATATTTGCTGCACTCTGCTGCCCACAATATAACCCACCAGTAAATTAGTGTAAAGTACGCTGCTAGTTTCCACATCACCGCAGAACATTAATAACCATGACGCCACCGCCTCCGCTCGTCAGAGGCCCTCTCTGGTGGGCTACATGCTGCAACTGCCGACGGGCGTGCTGGGACACCGACCTCTGGCTGGTGACTTTGACCTCTGTGGGAGCACGACCTGGCGGTGGAGGCATCAGAAGAGCCCAGGAGGAGTCGCCCAATCACCCCACGCGTGCGTGTGGTGAGCACGTGGCACAGCTCCCTCGACTTTTAATCTCATGACTTGCCACCGGTGGGAATCTTTGTTCGTGAAATCAGCGGCAAAAATATTCCGCAATGGAGCGCTTTCAAAAATAATCTTAGTCAACAATGACCGCGGGTGGATGAAAATCGCACCTCCGAGTAGCACGGTTGGCTACGTACGATGCTTTGGCTGTACAGACGAGGGAAATTAGGCGTGCGGTAAGTACACACGCGAATTTGCTTGCAAATCCCTCTATTTCCCACTGCACAGCCACGCAGCCGTAGTCAATAGCCAACACCAGCCTGCTTTAATGCACGGTGGCCGCCCACGCAAACCCTGTCCAGGCTCGAACCTGCTTGGACGTCCCAGATCGGATGAGATCGAGCACATGCAGGGTGATTAGGTTTACAGTCGAGATAGATTACGTTACCAAAAGCCATCGTTTTTTGGAACAAGGACGTCGAGTGACGCATTTCCATCGCCGGTAAACACGACCAAAGTCTGCTGCTGAGACGGAGACAGAGAACCCGGGGCAGGCGACTATCCAAACAAGGCGGCGCCGGCAGAGAAACACGGCCGTGTCGAGTGCCGTCTGGCAGAAGTGGGCTCCTGACTCTTCGCGCAAGGCTGTAGCGCTGAACTTTTTAGGCAGCGAGTGAGTAATTTTTGCGGAAGACACTCACGCCTGGGTTTCCTGCCCTCTCACTTTCTCCAACTGTCGACACACACCGCTCGTGCTGCAAGCCCCGGGGTTCTGATGAGCCACTTGGGGTCCTCTCTGACTGAAGCGTGACCGGCCTGTGGCTCCCATAACAACGTAATTTGTTCCGTCTGAGTCAAGCGAAGCTTGCCCCTACTGTGAACGGGGACATTTTGTTACATTAAAATTTTCACCATCTCGATTGAATTGGATTTTGTTATTTCTTTGTTATTTTCTTTGAACCTATCTATGTGATTGTACCGAAAGACCCAAAGAATATGAAATGGATACCGTTGCAGAGAATTACACCACAATAATATTTCCTTTCACACAGCAAAAAAGTCTCACCCAGTCCTAAGGCATTCCCTTCCTACTGCAGACATTATTTAGTCCACACGTCCCTCGTTAACCAGGACTTACAACCCAGGGGAAGGAGGGGCGAGGTTGAATCCTTCTCAACTTGCAACCGCGAGCTGCCGCTGAGCGTGAGACCTGGTGAAGGAGCAGCGTTGCACTGAGATGTAGCATCTGGCTCACACTCACAGCGGTGTCGTGTTCTAACAGCCGCTCTAGCTGGGCTCATTTTCCACATTGTGAGGGCTGATAGCATTACTGGAGTAAAAATCATAATATTTATGCCCTTTCATCCAGAAAAGTCTGTCTGAGCCTCAAGATTGTTTTTTCAGGAGGGTCCTGCATTGATATGTTTCGGCCAATTTCATGAATGCGCGTTTGGTTCAATGTGGGGGCAAGCCGGAGTACACGGAGATAACCCATGGTATGAGGTGTAACAGTCAAACCTCTGCACAGAGAGATTCAAGAATTCATAACTTATTTTGAACTGGTGGGCTCCATGCACACGCTGTATTACACACCCCATATAAAATAAAATTACATTCCAAAACTGTGCTGAAAGCGGTGTGTTCCACAGGCAGTAATAATGGGTTTAAAGTGTACGCGTGCACCATACAATCATCGCGAAAAAAATATCACGTTTCAAGAACGTGCAAGCGCATGCTGCGATATATTTAAAATGCACTTTAAAACGATACCTGGATATGTGGCGCAGCGGTAGAACGTGCGGCACGCAGTACGAGAAAGGCACTTAAGTTACATTTCCGATTAGAGGGTTGACTTTGGCCCATCATCCCTTTGGGACTGGCAAAGTGAGGACCACTCCATGGAGAAATTCAACAGCAACAGTGGTTGTCGTATAGAAACATACTCAGCCCTGTCGGAGGAATGTATCATTGCCACCAACTGGCTCAGGGCTCGAAACGGGAGATGAACGACAGCCCCACCGAAACCTCAATTGAGCGCTGCAACCACTCTTACCGTTTTCAAATTGTTAAATCGCGACCACCGTCGTCGTCGTTGTTAAAGACGATGCCCAGAGTGCGTGTTAACAACTCACCCTGAAGAAACGGATGTCCACGGAGTTCGTGGCGTGGGTTAAACATCCAAAGCATGGGAAGATAACACACAGCTTCCCCCGTCTCACTCGTGCCGGATGCCCAAGCCGCCCACACGTCCCGGAGTTTGATTTGACGGTGATTCAGGCAAGCGAATCACCGCCTCCGCTATTTTTCTAAACATTTCTTCACTTTTCTCGCATAAAAAAAAACCCACAATACATCACAGTTTTTTTTTATGCATTTAATGAAGTCTTATCGCCCGGGAACAGAAGGTGCATGCTTGATTTAGACTGTAAAACTCTACACGTTTGTTTTCTTGCGACGTTAAGATGTCTGCAAGATTCATGCCTGACCTGTCGTGTTGACCTCCTCAGTAGTGGCGTGCAGTTTGTGGAAGTTTAATTACACAGTTACTTCCTGCAGGAAACGAAGCGACGTAACATTCCGCGTAAATAAATTTTCATATTTTTAATAAACCTGCTGGGTAACGGATGAGTTACTACTCACTCGCCGTAGGAATACAGCAAAAAATAAGAACATCTTACCCAGTGCAAAATAAACGATGACACTCCCATATATTAACACAGGGGGCATAAGACAAACGAAAAAACACGTTTTTTTAAAGATTCGGCATCACCTGTACTCACGCTAAGTAAGGTGCACGGGTTGAAACTTTCAACAAAATATGAAAAATAAGAATAGGTGTTACCCTTTCTGGCAATAAAACAGGTTTAAAGCATTCGTGACTGGAGGGATTCATATTATTGGTTCTTTTGGTAAAGTCACGTAGAAAGAAAACAACTAAAATAATACAAATATAAAACAATAAAATTCTCACGACGTTTCGATTGCAACACAAGCAATCATCATCAGGTGTGAAAACCACAGCAAGAAAATTGAAGAAAATTCAAATTTTCTTGCTGTTGTGTTGCAATCGAAACGTCGTGATAATTTTATTGTTTTATATTTTTATTATTGTATTGCTTCCCTTCTACGTGACTTTACCGAAAGAACGAAGAGTAATAAAACATGTGTTAAGATGTTCAAACACCAGATAGATCGCTTTTGCAAGGAATCAAGTGCTGCATTAACCACACGTACTTGTGGTGAACATACAAACAAACACGCTCTGATAATATATGCATTGTCTTTGAAACTGATTAGCCTACACCAACCAGAGACAGCCTTCTCTATGGCCTTATCTCACCAGTGTTAGACCAGATGACAACGTCAAAAGGCGAACGGTACAACGACCATGCACGTATCAGAGCATGTGTATAGTAGCTCGGGCAGTGCCGGATTAAGCTAGTGCGGGGCCTGTAGCATATGTTATAAAGGGGCCCTAAATAAAAAAAAATATATAAACAAATATTAAAACACAAATGTGTTACTTGCATAGTAAAGCAATCGATTTTTTTTCATTTGCTATACAGCCAGATAATACAACAAATCGCTAACCTTAAACACCCAGTCGTTCATAAAAGTTGAAGGCGGTATAGTACTAGAGTAATAGAGCAAGTGCAGAAGCACTGAACCGGAATTGATAGCTTGAAAGCATTTAGCGCGGGGCCCTTGAAAGTGCGGGGCCCGTAGCTACATGTGTAGCTACTTTTACTACTGGGATCATCCGGCACTCAGCTCGGGTGAGTAGCTATATCATGGGACCTTTTTGGCAATAAAATAATTCGCTCCCTGCTTTGCCCCTCGTTACACACAGCTGCGCCACAGACAGGTCGCATATAAACATTTTACTGTGTGTGCAAGCGCTTCAGTGGCTCTGCTCAGACGAGCGCAAAGAAAATGCATATGAAAAAAAAGTCAAAAATATTTCACTGCGTCAGACAGCTCTTTATGAAGATCTGTCTTGGAGAAGATATGTTTAATCAACCGCAGAATATTTCACATTCGCCTGCCACCCAAACTTCAAGACATATGTCCAAACCCATAATGACATACGCCACAAAAGTTGAACTCTCTAAGGCTTCAACAACAACAAAAAGTCGAATCAACGGTTCAACGTTTGAGGCCGATGACTCAAATATACATTTCCCACACACCCCGCATGTCATCGCAAACCCCCCCCCCCCAACACCTTCAGAAAGTTATCATCACAAAGTAAATAATGGAAAGGAAAACAGAAGCCCCGTTCCAGGGCCTCTGACGGCCGCCGTCCGTTCTCCTCCCCTTCCGAGGCCGCGAGGTCGCGGGGTGGGGTGTGGGATATAAGCAGTCGCCACCGCGTCCCCAACCCAACCACGCAGCCCCGCTCATCCCTCGTGAAGACATCCCGCTCGCGTCTCGCATCTCGCCATGGCCGCTCCGCTGCTCCGCGCCGTCGTCGCCACCCTCGCCACGCTGATGCTCGCGCGGCCCGGCCTCGGCCAGACAGGTGAACGACAGCCCCCCGCCAGCCTCGCTCTCCCCACGTGAATGGCTCCTCGATCATTACGGGGCACTCCACAACGCTCTTTGTCTCATGCGCTGCCCCTTATTTTTTCTTCTTCCTAGCGTTGTTCCCGCTGTGGCACAGGGTCCGCTTTTCGGCATTGTCTTCTCCATTTGGCTCGGTCCAGGGCATCTTCGGGGGATGCGTTGACAGTCTTCATGTTTTTCTTTATTCGATCCATCCATCGCTTCTTCGGACGTCCGCGTGGACGGCGGTCCTCTGGCTCAATACGCATGGCAGTCTTGGCCACTGATGACTCTTCACTTCGCATCACATGGCCGTACCACCGAAGCCTTGCCTCTAGCATCTTGTCCGCAATGGGGGCCACACCAAGTCGCTTCCGAAAAGTTGCCAGTCGTGGCAGGGCGCTCGTTTGACCGCGCGTCGCCACTGTCTCTCTCTCTCTCTTGGCCGTTGCAATGTTTTGGTCACGGTTGGAGGCATTGAGATGCTGGCCGATGTTGTTTTGTTCGTGGATTTTTTTTTGGTGAGCAATTGTATATTTGTGTGTGTGTGTGCGTACTATTAACAGGCACGTAAAAATAAACATTCTGAAGTTGTGTCTGTTTGAGGTCTCCGATGGCATAACAAGCCTTTTGAAGCCCTCTCTTCGTATACACAGTTGTGACCCTTAGCCTGCCTGTGAGCTTACAAACACTTTTGTTGATATAGTTTTTTTTAAATAAGCAACTGTGTATATTTTTTTACATTTGAAAATTAACAAATACATTAAACAGGTAGATCTTTGATCATTTTCTGAGGTCTTCTTTAGCTTAAAAGCCCTCTCAACGCTTCTCGTCATACAAACCACATGTTTTTGATACTGCCCTGCAGTTTAGGCGATGAATGCACACAGTGTATCATCGTAATCATAAGTTAATCTTAATTAGGACGTCAGGTGAACTACAGTATCACGTATACGTTTACACCGATATTCTATTGCAGTATATTTAAAGAATATTTACTGGTGGTTTAATGGCTGTAAGGGCCAATGGAAAACTGCTGCGATATCGGATGAAACACCAAATTTGAAGTGTGGTCTTGAAAATGACTTCTGGCAACACACCATAGAGACGAAGCGGGTGTTATGATGCTCTCTTTTGGTGTACACACTTCATTATTGGCGTTTCATCCGATATCGTAGCAGTTTTCCTAAGGAACCATTCTAAATTGCTACTCTCTGGCAGCAGAAAAAAAATCTATCAAGATTGATGCGAATGGTGTATTTGTTTTTGCTCAGTGGAACGTGGCCAAACTCGCATGTGGTTCAGACTGCGATATTTAAATGTTTATTTAATATCAACAGACAACGTTTTGTAAAATACCTGTTCGTACACATCAGGCGTGCAACGGTCTCAGTCCAAGTTTGAGAAATCCATCAAGAGAACCGCCGAATCCATGGCGATTATCTAAACCCCCTTACAATCCCACACGTGTGAATATAATGCGCTCGGCTGCCCACCACATACACAGAATAACAACTATAGATCATTGAGAGGGTATCGTGAGGGAGGGGGGAGGACTTTAGGAGAGTGACTGGAAATCTGGAATGTTTTCTGCATGTCGGAGCTAAATCAACTTATTCGCAACACAAGTTATATTGTTGCATCCTTTTTTTACGTGAATAACAAGAGACAATGTTTGAATACACTATCCCAGCAGCTCCATGCAAAATTGCACGCATGCATTCTTTTCATCCCTACTGATACAAGCATTGCAACAAAATCTCTCCTCTGCCACTTTAATTGAACTAGCAGGGCCATTATTCATTCATTTTGCCCGAACATCATTTGTGTTGGGTCTCACTAACTCGCTCAGTCTCACGAAGCCCCTACAGAGCCCCATTCAGTTATTCTACAAAAAAGCTATGCTAAGTGTTTCAAATGTGTAATTGATTAAAAAAAAACCCTTTGCAAAAGAAAAATATTCCTGTGGGCTGAAAACAAATATATTCAACAACATGCAAAGGGTGCGCAGCATTTCATGTACAAATGCTCTGAGCCTTATCCAACCCACCAGCTCAAAAATACTGAAAGCATGAACATGTTTGTTATTTATGCCACCAACTCAAACGGCAGAGAAAAAGCGGCCATCTCAACAGGCAGCTGGGATGGCCTCATCTGGGATGACAGCTGGGAGGACACATCCCAGCTGCTTGCTGGGATGGAAGTTCGATACGCAGGCTTTCGCGACCAATATTATTCACAATAAAGGTTTTTTTTTGCCTTTTTTAAAGGAGCGCTGAGTTAGATCGTGTAATTATCAATGTGTTGTTAACCCACCTCCACCCAACAAGGCCATTAGTAACGTTAGTCACGTAAACACAACGTGCTAATTAGTTACTACTTCAGCGCACCGATGTGTGGGTGAATATACCCACTACATTTAGACGTTTCGCTGGTGATTACAACCAGCTTCATCAAGAAATGTTCACGTTCGATTAGCACGGTTGGTTTACGTATGGCGCAAAAGAAGTTCCACATACATACATGTACAAAACAGTACGTTTGCTTCACTGCTGCTGGTCTATGCAGCATGAATGGAAGGACAGCTTGGTTTTCCTTCTTAGAAAGACTCCGTTTTTTTTACGACGTCTGCCACGTCTATTTTGCAACGGCGAATTCAACTCGCTCAGCGGCGCAGACGATCCGTAGCACCGTACACGGTCTCTCTTCCCCTCCACAACCCCCTGCCTCGATCGAGCCTTAGTCGTCCTCACCCAACCGGGATTTCTGTGTGAGCTTTTACTCGTCACTCTCGCACACTCCCGGCACGCTGTCTGGGAATCGGAAAAAAGCCTTTGGGTTTTTAAGATCGATGTCTTTTGCGTAAATCCATGGACGCTTTAACGGTTTCAATTATATTTTGCCAATTGCGGTAATGCGTCATGTGTTTATTTATTTTAAAATATGTATGATATTTTATGTACTTTTCATGCATATGTTATTTTCGCTGAGGAAAATCTACATAAAATAAAAACGATGAACAGTAGGACGCATGTAAAGTATAGAATTGTTCATTGTGGAATAATTGAATTGCATACTTCAGGAAAACTACAGTTCCCAATAAAATTAGTTCCTTGGATAACTCTATTATGCACTAAACATATCAGGGGTGGGAGCGGTGGTGCGGTGGTGAGCGCAGTGCTCAATGAACATGGCAACCCGAGTTCGATTTCGGGCGATGGCGAACAAAAGTGGTGAGCGATATTTGAACCAGATAAACCAGCGACCACGAGCCAAGTCCTGGTGCCCTCTTTCCATACCACCTCTCTCTTTATTCATCAACATTTTGCTCTCACCTCCTTGCCACATTAGCCACAACTCCGTCCACACTCCCTCACGCTCACCTTCACACCCCTTCTCCCGCTGGGGCGGGTGCAGAGTCTCGCTCGAGCTGCATGATGGATTTGGACCCGGGGCCGTGCCGCGCCTACCTGCCGCGCGTCTTCTACAACCGCTACACGCAGCGCTGCGAGCCCTTCCACTACGGCGGCTGCTTCGGCAATGGCAACAACTTCGAGAGCCTGGCCGAGTGCAACGCCCAGTGCGCCTGGATCCCCGGTGAGACCCCCCGGCGCTGGCGCTCCGGCGATACGGTGGCTCGGCTGGGGCAGAGCGAGCGGCCCGCGAGCAGAAGGTTGCAAGTTCAAGTCCCAGTTTTGGGCGTTGAGAGTCAAACTCCATCGTCTGATCAAAATACTGAAAGCGTGGTAATTGTTTTGTGGCGAGATATTAACTACCTCACCTGGTATACAGGAGGTCGTGGGTTCGATCCCGACCCTCACGCCTCTATATTTGGAGTTTGCATGTTCTCCCCGTGGTCGCGTGGATTTTTCTCCAATTTTCCCCTCCACATTTATAATGACACAATTAGAGTATTTGGCTGCTATAAATTTCCATATGATAAACCACTTAATTAGGCTATCATTTGTGATGGCCAGGCCGCTTCTGAAAAAGAGCTACATAGCTCAGTTGGACCTTACCTGGTAAAATAAACAATAGGCTTGAAGTAGGTTTAAATTTGGGCCACCGACTCAAACGGTTGAGGAAATGTGGCCATCCCAGGAGGCAGCAATGGAACAACATGTTTGCTTCACTGCTGCCTGTGTGTTGTGGTCTAGGAAGCGCGAATGGAAGGAGACCTTGGTCTTCCTTTTTTGAAAACTCGGTTTTTCATGATGTCCCTGCCACATCTATTTCTGAATGCCGAGTTCAACTCGCTCAGCGGCGCAGAAGATCCATAGCATTTTGGGGTTGAGTCAACCTCACCAACCCCCTCTGGGGGTCGATAAAATTAGTACCACTTGCAGGGAATTTAAAAGTGTTTGTCCTCTGGGCAGACTCGCCCCTGCAATAGGAATGTCGTATTTCCACCAATGGCCAAGAGCTATGAGTACTGCCTCAGTGCTCATTTGAGCAGGACATCACTTTGTCTTTGACCACAGATTACAACTGAGGAGGAAACAAACTGATACCAACTCTCCCATGACTCTTCCAGATTCGGACGTTAAAGATCCCGTGAAGTTGTTTGCAAGAGTATGTGCTGGCGTCAAGGCCCGAATTTACCAAATAAGAAAACAATTACCCGCAAATGACCTAATTGCGATTATACATGGCAACAATCACCGCCAACTGCAAACAACTTGGCAAGACCCTCTTGATAGAGAGTCATGAGACTCAGTGAGGCTTTCCTGGCTAAACACGCAAATAAAATAATCAAAGTAATAACTCTGACATTCCACAGCGTGCACTGCACGGACCCACACAGCAGCGTCGCACGCAATCCTTTGTTGTCCTTCCACCCTGCAGAGTTGGCTTCGTACGGTGCCAAAGATACCATCGCTCACGGCGCTTCGCACGATCACGGTGACAGCATTGGGCATAAACACGCGCGCGGCGTACGAGCTCGTGCATCGCGTCTTCCTGCCCCCTAGTTGCGCCGAAGGCGTGCCGCCTGGAGATGGAGGTGGGCGTGTGCCGAGCCCTCCTCCGCCGCTACTTCTTCAACATGACCTCGGGCTCCTGCGAGGAGTTTGGCTACGGAGGTTGCCAGGGCAACCTCAACAATTTCAAGGATGCAGCATCTTGCTACCAGCACTGCGTCCATCGCCCAGGTCGGTGCCGTCCTCGCGCCAATTGCGTTCGTCGTCGGCGTCCGCGTCATCACTTGCTTTTATAGTTGTAGGCAGCCTGTGCACGCCCACGGTTGACTATGTACGGTGCGAAAGAAGTTCAACATGCAATGCATGCAGAGGTCAGAGCGTTGAGATGGCAGCACTGAGATTCTGGGTTCGAATCCAGCTTCTCAAGTGCAGTGAGTTGATGATCTTAACCCCTGGTCAGAGATCACTTGAAGGGATCTCAGAAGTAGCTCTTTGATACGCGCTTCCACGGGCAGTTCTCTGAAACAGAAAGTTGAACTGCTTTGCGAGAGTTCGTCATCTCAAATGGGTGATACCAATTGAAGAATGGAGATAAAATCTGAGAAGACTGTCTTGGATTAATACACGGCCTCCACGGAGGGTTGGGGGGGATGCGTGACGTCAGCAGGCACACTGCGTGACGCTGCCGCATGCGGGTGACATCACAGATGTGACGTCACCGCTCACTAGCCGTGAAAAATATATACAATATTGCGCCCCCCCCCCCCCCCCCCCCAATACAAAAGTCTATTTTTATACTTTTTGTATTGTGTACAGTCTGGAAGCTACCCACATGCCAAATTTCAAGTTTGTTGCATGTTGGGAAGTACGCTAAACATTTCGAACAGACACATATATTCACGAATGTCCTATTTATATATATAGAAGAGACATTTCCTTGTTTGTATCCAGAAAAGCCTCACAGAGGCCCAATATTGTTTCAGAAGGGTCTTTCATAGGTGTTGGCAAATTCCTTTGTTTTGAGTGTTTTTACTTGGGGGGAACCACAGTGCTTTGAGAAAACCTATCAAGGCCGTAGCCATGGAGTCAACATTGGGGGGACCAAATCTTCCAGGGGGTCTGGGGGTCCCCCCCTAGAAAAAAAATCTAAATTTAAAAACGAATTTCCTGCCTAAAATATAAAAAAAAATCACTAACACATGGGACTGACTTTTTATTTTATTGTTTACAATAATGTCTAATAGTGTATTGCATTACATTGCTCTGTTTTTTCTTTTTTACCTTTTCTTGTTTCATTGCATGGAATGGCAGAGATTAGGGATGAATAAAGTACAACCATAACCACAATCTTATAAACAGAAATCTATTTCATAGCAATATATTGGGGGGGACATTTTGAGCATATTTGAATATTGTGGGCGATGTGTCCTCCCCAATATATTTTATAATTACGGCCTTGAAACCTATACACACAAGGCAACAGCGCTCAATGGTGTGTAGAGACCGATTGGGAATATATTTTCTGTACTGCCGTCTCATGGCCACCTCACAGCTCGTCGGAAGCGTCACAACACTTTGTGAAATCTGCTCCATCCACCAATCCTGCCTCCAAAGAGCCGGTTTGCAGATGCGCGCTACCGCATCTCTCATACAGCGGCATCACGTCATGAAACGCACCAGATGTGTGATGGTGATGATGCTGATAATAATAAACCAGACCTGCTCTTTGGGGAACATCTGTGCCGTTCAGTGTTTCCATCTGGTAGATGAAGCTCTAAATGGAGCCACTGCTAAACCACCTGAGCACGTGACCTGAAACCAAGAATAGTTCTCATGTGTGCAGGTGTGTTGCCTCCCAACCGAGAGCCACTTTGCATACACACCTGCACGCAAGTCAGCGTTAGAGGACACGAGAGCAGCACCGGGAACTCCATAAACTAAAAAAACGGCCCAAAACAAACAACAACAACAAGGCCGCGTGGTGCAATGGGGAGAGCAAGAGCGAGCAGTTTGGGTTACGAGCACACCAGCCGATCGAAGGCGATAGCCGTACTCTCCTGCCTCGAACCATAACCAACCAGTCAACCAGCCACGAGTAGCACCAGTCCTCCCACTGACCGCTAAACCAACTAGCCAACCAAACACAAGTACCAGGTCCTTCTACTCCGCTAACCCCACCTCTCACGCTTCAATATGCCCACTGTTTCGTTCACTTTTCACTTTTGGCGTTCGCTCGCACCGCCCGCCGCCCTGACGTGCTCCGAATGCTGTCTCCCCCTGTCCTCTCTACCTCCCTTCCTGCGTGTGCAGTGCTCCCCCGGATCTGCCTGATGAAAGCCGACCCTGGCGAGTGCAGCGGCGTCATCCCGCGCTTCCGCTACAACCCGCAGACGAGCAGCTGCGAGAGCTTCACCTATGGTGGCTGCGGCGGCAACGACAACAACTTCGGCAGCGAGCGCAGCTGCATGAGCGTCTGCGGCCAGGGTCAGTGCTGCTCGGTTGCCGTCCTCTCTCTCTCGCTCTCTCGTTTTTACCAGCAGAGGCCTCCTTTGTGTTGTAGCTGTCCTGGGAGATCTGCAAAGTCTTCCTGGGACATTACGAGTCTATACACCCCAGTGTTTAAATCAGCCGGAACAGTCAAGAACGCTGACCCTGGGAATTGTTTCAGCACGAGCGCTCATCTCGCCTTATTTTTGTCCATAAAACCCGGTAATATTGTCACAGGAATACAAGGTACAGTAATGTATGATTATTACGGATAGACGTACCTCATACTCTAGTGTTAATGCCTTACACCGATAATCCCTACTCCAAGCCAACCTCGCAGCATTCTGGAAAATAGAGTGGGGAAATTAATAATAATGCTTTCATTTTATAAAGCATTATTCATGCCAAAAGCATCCCACAATGCTGTACATTTATTAATTATATAAGGATTAAATCCCATGTAATCGGTTGGTTACGTACAGCGCTAAGAAGCCCAACACACACACACACACGTACAAACCAAGCAAATTAAAACCTTCTGAGAAAAAATTATAATAAACTAATTAACAAATAGCACCAAAACCAAAAGCACAGAATTCACCAACACAGTTACATATAGCTTCTCCCCTCTCACAGACACCTTGTGAGATATTACTTTTTCCCCTTCTAAGTCCCATTACTTTGTGCCTTAGAAGTGGCAGCCCTAGACATGGGGTCTTGGCTCAGGAGGGTTGGGCGGTCGGGGGGGGGCGGCATTTTTCTTCATCTGCACGCGTCACCGCGTTCCGCGAGGGAGTGCGCTTGTTGTTTATTTATAGGCTGAGCATAATTTTGTTCGCGAGGGGTCACGGGATCAACAAAAAAACATTATTTTTACAGTAGGTGCTGCCCCTGATAGTTCAAGGCAGATGAGGCGGTGTTGGCAATTCCCAGAATGCCAGATTTTTTTTACATCAAATCATGCGGCGTTGCGGTTCAATGGAAATCAACTTTAATTAAAAAAAAACGTGTTGTTTTTCAGCTGTCATTCCGGCGTCTACAAGTGCTCAGTACCTGAACCCGTCTCGTCGTGTCTTCGTGGCCAGGAGGAGGCAAGGAAAGACCTTCAAGCACAAAATTATTCGCCAATGAACGATGCACACGACACAACCAAATGAGGCCACAGGTCTCTGATGTGTTTTCGTGCATTATGTCCGACGTTTGGCTCCACGTGCTGGAAGCTTAATCAGGAACTCAATGAGAAGCTTCCGGTATGTAGAGAAAAACGCCGGACATTGTGCCGAACGACTCCCAAAAACATCGGTGAGCCATGTAGTACAACCGTGAAAACCTACGCAGTGGTAATGCCAAGGTTGCTTTCAGAAGGGGTAAGGATTTGCCGTGGCTACAATGCAGCATTTCAATTTTAGTTTATTACTGGATTAGTTTGTAGCTGTTTTACAATTGTAAATAGTTTGTTAAAGATGGTTAAATTATTGCCTTTTAGAAAACACCTCAAAAGTGAAAAGGAAAGGCAGTATTATCTGGACCAAAATATTTAGTATCTAATTCTGAATCATTAAATTCTGAAGTCACTGTCCAATTTTAATTCAACGCCAGATGTATAAAGTCAATGATTTATACAGATCATGTTTCACTGCATCGTCAGTTTGTGATCTCTCTGGATGGTGTTGGGTGGATGCTATGAGCCCCTGGCAACCGAAATGTGGTGAGATCTGTCCGTCGTAAGTGATAATTTCGTCGGAATCATCACGAGCCATGGAAACAGGCGTGGTCATCAGACAGTGCCAACCTTCACACGGCACCACGAAGACGCGCTCCACTGCTCAAATCACGGGGCATGCTTCAAGAAATTAAAATCATAGTCGTTCGTATTCATTCACAGTCCTTTGTCAATGGACTACTGGATGTAATCCCCCACCCAATGCCGTGCTGGTCGTGTTTGTTGAACTTCTTTCGCACCGTACGTAGCCAACCGTTCTATACTTCACGCTCGTAAGTGCAGATTCGTTAAGGGGGCGGAGGGGGGGGCAGAATCGATTTGGTTACCAATCGCCACTGACTTTAGCCGTGGCAATAAATTGAACTCGGTCGCAGAGTCCATAGCTCAGTGTGCCGTTGCCCCACCCGTTTTCGGAAATGTGCTTATAAAAACTATTAATAACAGCCATCAGTACATCTCTCCACATGAAAACAAAAATATTATTTACTCCACCAGCGTATGGGGTTTCCAGATAAATATTATTTCGTGCCATTTGTTTCAACAAGAAAGCTCTGGACTGGTTTTGACCTTTTTGGGTCTCATCAGTCGGGTCAGGCTTGTTAAACAAATACCACTGGGTGGCCAGCTGATACTCTCATAGGGTACTCCATGTACACAACAAGACCCTGTTCAACTCCTAAAGGAGTTTTCTATATATAACTAAAAGTTATCTTCTTGGTTCTTTCGGTAAAGTCACGTAGAAGGGAAATAAAAAAATAAAACATAATAAAATTATTCTCACGACGTTTCGGCCACAACGCAAGCAGCCATCCTCAAGTGAAGAACAGGTCTGTCGGGGAGACAGCGTCTTGCGTTGTGGCCGAAACGTCGTTAGAATTATTTTATTATGTTTTCTTTTTTTTCTTTTATTATTTCCCTTCTACGTGACTTTACCGAAAGAACCAAGAAGATGAATCCCTGCAGTCACGAAAGCTTTAAATCGAAAAACTAAAAGTAACTCGTGTTATTCATTAGAATTGTGGATGCCAATGCATTACCCATAATGCACCACATTAGATGGGTCTTGAGACATTTCCAAGTCCACCGCTGTGCAAACCTCCAGAAGTGCTGCAATTGTGAGGTGCGCTGAGTAAACCAGAGACAGTCTCCCTTGCATATGTGTGGGTGAATGGCAACACCTACGTTTATGTCCACATTAGATGACCCAAACAGCAGTGCATGTGCCGATAACGTAGACGTGAGTCATCCCACACAAGGAGGCACGTTGTGAAACTCGCCAAACAGCCGAATCGACGTGAACGTGCCTAATCTCATCTGATATTAAAAGATAATCGATCTTGAGGCCGGTTAGCAAATGCGTGGGAGACTGCCTGCAAAGTACCATATCTTGTCGGCTTGGGCTGCGAGGTAGCCAAGAGAAGGCAGGAGAGCAATGGAGTCTTCGCATCTATCTGCGGAACTTTAAGTGTACCTCATCGTGTGCGTGGGGTTTCTCCAAGCAACTCTGAATTCGTCCCACACGCAATCTGTTAATTAATGAAATTGGCTTTGAACTGCAATCGCAGTAGCCCCGTGAGCAAAACACTCTTGAGGCTCAGTGAGGCAGTCCCCTGCGAAAATATAGAACAGTACTTTTATGAATCAAGAACCCGAGGGTTGTCACATAACCGATTATAGTACATTGTCATCTAGATGCCGTTAAACATATTTTATGCGTCCTCCATCTTTATATAGAATTTTTCGTTTTCCAAAAATAAAATTGCACAGAAAAAATAAATATATGTTGTATACAGTAGTGTGACCGAGTATTTTTTTTATGAACAAAAAATGTGTTCAGTTGGAATTTTGATTAAAGCTTCTCAATATGCTAATGGAAATTCATTCTTTGTTTGAATTTGTCGAAAAGAAAAGCAACTCATTCACAAGTGACACAAATAATTGCGGGATTCTCTTTCACGGGAAGCTTTTTTTCTACATTTTACTTTGGCAGACAGTGCAGCTGTTATCATTCATATAACACCGTAGATAGTTAATTAGTTTTGTTTTCATTTCATGACAAACCGAGGTTTCAAGCGTGTTTTGTTCGCGCCAATGTTATTAAGCTGGATAAGCCTCTCCTCGGGCTCCCGGCCGCACCGAGACTCAACTGTGGTGCAGTCGTGCCACCTGCTGTACACAGACAATTCGCGTCGCTGTCGAGCGGGCAGGCGATGCAACCGCTCAAAGACCCCACGAGCCAGAGTGGTGGTGGTTGGGGGGGTCAGGCGCCTTACTGCACCAGGGGCCCACATCCACCCACCACAACCCCCTAATTAGCTCGCCCCCATAACAAATGCATTACTTCACCATATCCTGTGTTGCTTGAAAGCTACAGCACTTCATCACATGGAGGCTCAGGATGTAAGAACGATTCATGAATTAATACCGATTCTCAATTTACGATTTTTTTTATTAATTCAGTGAAACGACTGTAATGGGTTTCACGTGAGCTCGCGTTGACGGCTGCAGCCACTGGTGGACCGCTTACGTTCACTGCAGTACTAAAAAGAAAAAGTATTCCATTCACATCGTAACCAACTGAATTGTAAGAATTAATCGGACCGCCGGGGAGGTGAATCGTGACAGCTCAATGGAGACCGGGGGAAAATTCCGGGAGCCGGTCCGATTGTTCGTCAAATTAGCGCCGATAACGCAACAATTCGCGGCCACCCTCAATTGTGCATGACCCGCTGCCGGGGGCTCACTGACTCGCTCCCACCGCGCCCTCGTCTCAGGAGCAACGTGCAGCGCGTTTCAATGAACGGGTTGTTGATCGCCGATCGCTTCAGAGCCGCCGGCGGGTGGTTGCGGGCCGCGTCCGACCCGAGGCTCGCGACCACGTGGGGCTGCCCACCCCGACAAACAGACGCACAGCAGCGATTATCGGTCACCGCCAAATCATCGTACAGCAACACTGAGTGAGTGCGATAGGGGAATGTGTGGTCACCTGGGGAGCGGCGGTGCAGCGGTTAGCGCGCCGCGCTCACGGCCACCAACACCAGTGACGATTATTTGAACCGGTCCTGGGCCTCCCCTAGGTCGACTCAGCCTCAAATGAGTAGCGGGTGCATTGTGTAAAAAAACATCGCCACTGGGGAGACAAATGCGGTTGGGCGTGGTGCTAGCCACTCACCTCATTGTGTGCCGTGCCGGCCTTCATAGGTGATCGCTTACAGCACTTGCCCCAAGTCTGTTAAGGTTATACAGGGGATATTTGTAGTTGCCTCTATTTGCCTGCCAAAGGTATTTGAAAGTCCTATTCAGCCCTCAGCATGGAAAAGGTGGTATGCATTCGTCAGGTCATCCTGGTTATTACTGCAGGTGTTTTAACCATAAAATACGCGCCGCCTGCTTCACAGCCGACGCTAAAGATCCTGCGATGTCCTTTGATGTCATTGTGCGCTAGCGTAATGGTCCAAATTTACCTAATTATAAAAACTAATTGCTGAAAATTGCTCAATTGGCATTACACGTGACAACATGGCCCCATCCTGCGAAACTACTGCAGGCTGCGTGAAACATAGCACATTGAGCTACAGCAACAGTGCAAATGCCAAATGTACTAAATAAGTAAATATTAATGTTTGCCCCTTTCCCATAAAAAAATAAAATACCTGACACACACTCACACACACACCGGTCAAACATCACATCACTCACAAGATCCAATCGTTTAACACGTAGGCTTTCGCGACCAATATCCATCATAGTGCAGTGACGAATTGGCACGTTCTGTTTACGTGACAACCCTTACTAGTTGGCTGTGTCAAGTGGTGGCGGGTTTTACGCGATCTAAACCCCCCCCCTCCCCCCAAAACCTCTTATGAAAGATCCATTCGCTTGTGATTCTGATACGAGCGGAGGGGATTGATCCATATTCTTAGGTTTTTTCGGTAAAGTCACGTAGGTAAAAAATTAAAATTAAAATTAATAAAAGTAAAATAAATTTTAAATTAAATAAAAATCACGACGTTTCGGAGGCAACACAAGCTTCCGTCTTCAGGTGGAACCGTCACAGCACTTGATATAGCAAGCGTGCTGTGACGGTTCCACCTGAAGACGGAAGCTTGTGTTGCCTCCGAAACGGCGCGATTTATTTATTTATTTAATTTTAATTTACTTTTATTAATTTTAATTTTTTACCTACGTGACTTTACCGAAAAAAACCTAAGAATATGAATTCTTGCAGTCAAGAAAGCTTCAAATCTGGGATTGCTCCAGTTTAAGGAGTCGGAGCATGCTCGCGTGGAGCCGGGTGCCAAGTTCACGGACCTCACACTCGTGACCCTCTGGCCGGGCTATGAACTCACCGCAGAGTTGGGCGCAATTCGTTGCGTCAACCCACATCGAGACTCTGTGTAGCGAAAGACGCCGCTAGCCCCGACGTTTGCTCGCGGCGTGTCTCTCTCGGCGTCAACAACGTACGCGTCCACTTCTTCCTGAGGCTTTGCGAAAGTTATGTAACTCTCGACCATCCCGATTGCAGCCGCGGCAAATGGCACGACATTTTCTTTTTTTAAACGACCGTACTCGAAGTCTATTCCGAAGCTTCCGTTACTTCTCGTGCCACAAAACAGCCTTCAAACTCCGTCACTTGAGCCCGCAGCACCGGGGGCTCCCAGTGGCTGTCCCTGACCTTCGCTTGAACCCGGGTCCGGAGGCATTCCGCGGGCTTTACTGCAGCGATCTAAACACAGCATCGCCACGCTGGGCTATGGGCATACACCCAGACGCGAGTTTACTGTAAGTGAGTCGGAGGGCCATGGGACCCCCCTTAACAACGCCCCCCACCTCCTCCCCCTAATCCGAAAGGGACTCAACTTTTCAAGTTATCGAGGCAGCCAAGATACATCACAACCATTGCCATCGATGCCATCGCTTCCTTCCTCCTGCCAGATCCCACCCATGGAGTTTATAACAAGGGTGTGGATATTGGTGGACTTGTGTGTCTCCCGCCATCACACTACCAGATGCACCAACCTCTCGTGCTCCCTGTTCTCAAAATGAATTGATACATTTTTAGACTGTCTCTGCGTGTGTGTGTGTGTGGTGTCCAGTGGTGGTGTAAGCGGTGAGTGCGATTCCCGCTCACGGCCAATACCATCGACGATTATCTGAACCGGTCCTGGGCCTCCCCTAGGTCGACTCAGCCTCAAATAAGTACCTAGTGCGACGTATAAAAACGTTACCACTGGAGAGACAAAGACGGCCGGGAGTGGTGCTGGACACCCACCCCCTCGTGTGCCGTGCCGGCCTTCATAGGTGATCGCTTACAGCACTTGCCCCAACAGTCTGTTAATGCTATACGGAGGATCTTTGTCTTTGGTGTCCAGTGAAAGTAGCGTTAATAACGTGGTATGCAGGTCTCGTTGCTGTGATGTGGCCGCATATGATGTGCACATTAATGTGGAACAAAACAACACGAGCATCAATGTTACGTTGCCACGAACTTTTCTACCCCTGCCTTCCAAGATCTGTTCTGAACAGTCTCACCCCACTGGTGGAGTTGTTCACCGTGACTATGGATATGGGGGAACGAGGGGTGCCTCCCTACATACGATTTGGTGCCGCAGACCAACGGGACCCGTCCTGGAATCACCTCTGCCTCAACCGCACGTGCAGCCCAAGTAGCTGCATCGCTGCCAGAGCCATGATTTATCAAACGCAGTGAATGCAATATTACTCAAAAATTGCATGGCTCTTTTGATTCTTCTTCCAGTTCTCACGTTGACATAAAACGGCGGCGAGAGAAGATTTCTGTCTCTTTGTGGACTATGTCCACACCCAGCGCTGGCCGCCAGCGCGGACATGCACAGGACGCACGACTGCATCCCTGTCACTGCCGCCACACACAAACACAAAGACCCCCCCCCCCCTTACATATAGCCCTCAACAGACTGCTTCATGGGGGCAAGTGCTGTCAGCAAGCACCGGAGAACGACAGCACGGCACACGAGTGGGTGGTGTGGTCATCCACACTTCGGAAAATCACCACTTGTGTTCCATCGCCCTCCCTGAGTCTTTGAAGACCAACATGTGCTCTATTCAGATCGATCTTGGCGGGGTCATCGGATTATTTGTCAGTGATTACCCTACCAATTATCCGTTCCATCACTCGACATATTAAATGAGTAAAAATAATAGTTACGGGGGGACCTCCCACCGCTGTTCCCACGTGCGCCGCGGGACGGGAGGTGATGGGCCGGGCTTATAGTGGGGGGTTGCCCCCCCCCACTTCGGGAGACAGGATATGAGGACGGCCACCGTTTTCAAATGTGTCTGCGTTATCGATTACAAGAAAAGCAACCAATCACACGTTTTTTTATAGAAATCAATTAATCAACTTAATTGGCGTGATTTGGCTCTCCAGTGCTTCATTGTGAAGGTTGGGGGGGGGAAGTAGGACAGGGGGGGGGGAGGACAGGGGGGGGGGGCAATGAACGAACGAACGCTCGACGAGGACTCGCGGCGACCCGTGCGGAATTGGTTTGCCAGCGCGCGCTGCCTGTGGAGCCGTGGAGTTGCTGTGGAGCTGTGGAGCTGCTTGTGGAGCTGTGGAGTTGCCAGCGCGCGCAGGGCAAAAAGAGAGAGCCGCTGGCCATGCCGCTTCCCCCGGCAGCATCGGTCGACGCGCGGCCGCCACCACCACCACCCCAACACCACCGCCACCCCCCACACCACCACCATCACCCCACCACCACCGCCACCCCCCACCACCACCACCACCCCACCACCACCACCCCACCACCACCACCACTCCACCACCACCACCACCCCCCACCACCACCACCCCACCACCACCAACACCCGCACAACCACCACCCCCCCACCACCACCCCCACCACCACCACCCCCCACCACCACCACCACCACCCCACCACCACCCGCACAATCACCACCACCCCCACCACCACCACCCCCACCACCACCACCACCCCACCACCACCACCACTCCACCACCACCACCACCCCCCACCACCACCACCCCACCACCACCAACACCCGCACAACCACCACCCCCCCACCACCACCCCCACCACCACCACCCCCCACCACCACCACCACCACCCCACCACCACCACCACTCCACCACCACCCCCCACCACCACCAACCCACCACCACCAACACCCGCACAACCACCACCCCCCCACCACCACCCCCACCACCACCACCCCCCACCACCACCACTCCACCACCACCACCACCCAACCACCACCCCACACCATTCCCCCACCACCACCACCACCACCCCACACCATTCCCCCACCACCATCACCAAAGCCCCACCCCCCCCCCCCCCACCACCACCACTCCACCAAAACCACCACCACCACCCCACCACTACCACCAAAGCCCCACCACCACCACCACCCCCCCACCACCACCACCCCACCACCACCACCACCACCCCACCACCACCACCGTCGAGCACTGGCAGCGCCTGTCCGTGCCAATCACACCATCGCTGTGGCGTAATGCGACAGAGAAGTTGACCTTTCATGAAGGCGCCTTGATTGCTTTGAAAATTGCGGCCACAGTCAAGGGCAATCGCGTCTGGAGTGTCACCAGCATCGTTAACAACTTGCCGCATCTCTTCTTTGTGTGCGCGCAGGCTCAATAATACGAATTGTTGTTGCCTGTCTTCAGATATAAATGTACATCCTTGCTGCCACTATGTTGAACTTCTTTCGCACCATACGTAGCCAACCACGCTACTCGTTAGGTGCGGGGGGCGGACACCAAACTAAACACAAAAAGGCAGTTTTAAATAAATGAGTTTTCGATCTACATTTTCAAATGCGTGGCTCCAATGGCTTCCCAATATTCGGGGGGGGGGGGGGACATTGTGGACCCCAGCTCTCATGGCTCTGCGTAAGACGTCGGAGGCACTGGGAGACAGCGGCACGGCGCCGATCCTACACAGGACCACGTCTCCTGACGAGTCACCTGGCGTGCGCGTCTCTGATGAACATTCATTTGAATTGTGCGCATGCGTGGGGCTGGAAAGTTGGCTCAACCTTCAATGTCACCGAAGCGTGGCGGGCTCGATGTTTGTATATGACTTCTCATCCGTCCCACGGAGCCTCGTCGTCACTCACTTGTCAATGTGCCACCTCGCAGCCTCCCAAAAATAGCCGGCTAACGATAATGACCCGATCCCCCCCCCCCTCCACCACTGCCGCCGCTCCGCACCGCCCACCCCTCCTCCTCCTCCCGTCCCTCGTGGCGCTGCTACGTCAAGTATAAAGAAAGGAGGGCGCTCACTCGCTCTACAAGTCGCTTGGGAGGGAGGGAGGGAGGCAGGGAGGAAACGGGAAGGAGCGTGGAAAGGAGGGAGCACGCTTGGCCCATCAGACACAGACACAGGCGCACGCGCACGCACACACAGGCAGGCGCATCCGCTCCAAGTCGGCGTGGGTTGCTGCACCCGGGCAGAAGCAACGAGGCCGCAGACAAGTGCGAAGTGAGGGCAGCTTCGCTGGACAGCGTCGTGGAGAGAGGGGGGGGAGAGCGCACGCTGTACTCGCGAGCGGCAAATGTCCAATTTACACGCGAGAGTTTCACCATAGACACTGCGCGGAACATTTGTCGCGAGCTAATGAAGACAGCGGTCGCGTTACACGGAGCCAAGGACGAGGACAGCGTCGGTGACGGAGGAGTGACGAGACGCCCCAACCACAGATGGGGAACTTTAGAATCAACAGCATCGCGTTACATCGGCTCTCAAAGGTGACTCCCGTTGACCCTGCTCATCGCTCATCTTCTCGTTTTATTCATCCTCATCACCATCATCTTCCGCTTCAGCATCATCAACGTCAGGAAGGCAAGTGGCATCATAGAAGTACAAGTATTGTTGTTGTTTTGTGCATGTTTATCATTCCCGTGGCATGTGTGTTTCACGCAGCACAAGTCAACACGGTTCCCGTGATAATTGTAATGTTTGGAAAATGCATCGGGCTAATACTGCGATTGTATAAACAGCTAAAGAACAAAAACATGCGAATGTTCTCTGAAACACCCCGTTACGTAGAGCGATGAACAGGGCGATGTTTTCACTCGTGATCCCGCTGCCCATCAACTCATTCTGCCCATGAACCCCCTCTGCTCGTTCAGCTTCCCGTTCCACGCGCCCCATTCATCAGTTGATGCGTCAACGAGGTTTTTTTTTGCCGGCATGTTACCCGGTCCTACCTCTCCTCCATCATCTACAAAACTGGGATCGGAGGGCCAGAAGGGAGGGAGTCGCACAGCTGATTTACTTCAAGCACAAATGTTTTCATGAGCGTACATCATTAGCACACAACTCTGCCATACAACCCGCGTCTCATAGTCGAGTTGTCCCAATGGGTTTTCCTGAACTTTCTCCCTTAAATTGAACATTTACAAATACCCGCCCGCTCCCTTGTGTGTCGCGTGCTTTGTGTGAATCGTTTCCAAGCGGCGAGCGGCAATTTACTAAGCGGTCTTTTAAAATAGGGAAAACAATTACAGTTTGCTATTTAATGTGTCGCCAGTGCCATGTATGCCCTCCATAGTGCTACAAAAAAACTTAAATTAATCAAGCGGATTATAATTACGCTTCCCAAGCACTGTACCACGATTACTTATCCCATTAGTCCCCTCGGTTCATATTCGACGGCGTGTTTAAAGGTCACATCCATTCATCATCGGGGGTTTAATGCGGCACGGTAGCCTTTTCCCGCCGCACAAAGTCAAGTGACAGCGCGCAAGCGTACGGCAAAGGCGAGCAGCCGACGAAAGGAAGGAAATTACTAGGAAGGGGAAGCAATTCCAGGCATATTGTTTTTTGCCTGCGTGTCCGATGTTTGCGTTTAGTCAGGGCGGCGTGCCAAAGCCGACCGCTCGCACCGCGGGGTCACGCGGATCGCGTTCGCCCGATTGCGCCAATTTTCTTCTCGTGCCTCGCTCTGCTCTGAAATGCTCTTTCGTTTCGCCCAGCGGCGATTGTATGATGGGCCCCGGGAGGCCGCGAGTTCAATGTCAAGAGGCGTCACGGTCGCTCTATGCTACTGATGTCACCACCACCACCATCACCGCCGCCAACACCGCGAGTCGTCATCGCTTCCTTCCGCCAGCCACCACAGCCGCTGCGCACACGCTGATACTTCACCTACACGGTCTCGCGGCTTTTGCAGCCACATTCCACCCGAGGGGTTTCACACCTGTGGCTGTGGATATGGGTACCACCCCCCCCCCCCCCCCCCACAAATGATGTGGTGCCTTGCTCAATGCGCGCTGTTCCAAAATCGATCTAACAGATTTAGGCTGAATGCGTGTGTGTATTTGTATATAAATACTGTTTAAAGACACGGTATTATATTCCGTTCTCATTAACACAATCTTCAACATCCGCACGTTGTAATGTGTGGCGTATGGCATATGAGTAGCAAGTTAATATGGATAGACAAAATACGAGTTAATGTTCGATTGCGACGTTTCGTTTTCCCATCAAGAGCACATGTTGGCCACATCATATACACCGAAAGACAAGGACACACACATACATAGGTTGCCTTCTGGAAGTCACTGCCAAACAGCTCCTTAATTGACCACCAGATTGCCGAGAGGGTGCGTTCTACGTTCCCGCACACTAATGGACATCCAATGAGTACAAAGTCCTCGGGACGTGATGTGTTTCTGCGGCGCCGTCCATGAGTTGATTCCCTCTCGAAACGCTTTCTAATGAAACGTGGCAACTCTGCCACCGTCTCGGTGACCCCCCCCCCCCCCCACCACCACCCCCCCACCACCCCCCCCACCACCCCCCACCACCACCCCCACCACCACCCCCCCCCACCACCCCCCCCACCACCACCAAACGCGACCTGACCGCGCGGGGTACCACCAGCGAGATGCCTCGGCGAGTGCAGCAAAAGGCGACGTTTTCAAAAATCGCGTTTCTCTTCCTACCTCCCCCACCCCTTCCCAGCGGACGTGGGATAAATTGCATCTGTCCCATTAGCAGAGCGTGCGACGACTTCTCACCCCCCGCCCTCCCCCCTTCCACTCGCTCTGTCACGCTGGCCCCGTTCGCGTAACTTTGTCCAGCCGCGCACAATTTATTTTTCGTTCGGACAACCCCGTCCATATAAATGCACACGCGCGCGCTTTGGGGGCCCACTCGCTATTCGCGCTCGGTTGTTTGGGGTGCGAGTAACGGGGTGGGCTCCGCCGCCTTCTGCTTGACCCCCTTGCGTGTTCACAGGCTGCGGGTTTCGAGCTGCAGTGCCGGTGAGGACCCCCCGACCGAATAGGGTCCAGCGTGTCTGCGGTGCAGAATTTAATTTCTGGAACGAAACGGCGGCAGCGCACAGGCCTCGGACTCGCGAGATAACCTGCCCGTGTACCTTGTCCAGACCGTCGCCACGTCTTTTTTTGTTGTTTTTGCACAACATTTTATTTAAACAACTTTGTTGAATTACGAGGGGTTCATCTTCTTGTTTCTTTCGGTAAAGTCACGTAGAAGGGAAGTAATAAAATAATAAAAATAAAACATAATAAAACAATTCTCACGACGTTTCGGCTACAACGCAAGCAGCCGTCTTCAGGTGAAGAATGAGACACTACCAAACTAGGAGCTTATATATAAGCTGCATTGGGGGTTGAAGAGCGCCTTAACAAGCAAGTAATTGCTGTTAGTAACTCAGCTTATTATAGAGTATAGTAAGTATACTGATGGTGCGATGCAGTTTATACTTTAGTTTTTTATGTAGTTTATACTTTAGTTTTCTACGTGGTTGTTGAGTAACTGCAGCTACATATCATTAACATTCCTTTCCTTTGTTACTGCTAATCCCTGCACCCCCCTTGGTTGCTGCTGATCCTGCATAATGCATGGGCATAATATGACTTTGACACCCCCCCGCCCAACGCCTACGCATTTTCCATGAATATGCTAAATCCCTCTTCACATGCACATTCTTTTTGTTAAGGCGCTCTTCAACCCCCAATGCAGCTTATATATAAGCTCCTAGTTTGGTAGTGTCTCATTCTTCACCTGAAGACGGCTGCTTGCGTTGTAGCCGAAACGTCGTGAGAATTGTTTTATTATGTTTTATTTTTATTATTTTATTACTTCCCTTCTACGTGACTTTACCGAAAGAAACAAGAAGATGAATCCCTGCAGTCACGAAAGCTTTAAATCAAAATTTACGAGGGGTTGGTAAACTTACCGGCAAACTGGCGCGCGTGTGCTCACGTTTACAGTTTGTATGTTTTGCGTGTGACACGTGCACATGAACACACGCTTATTGCGTGCACGTGGTCGTGTGCATGAGGGTGCGCCTATAGCAGTGTAGCATGTGACATGGTGGAGTGTTTATTTACAATTGGGTGTTTATATCAATATGCCTATATATGTATCGCATGGCGCACGTATGTGCAGGCATGTTAATATGTGCATAGCATAAAGGTGTATGTGGTATGTGTGTATATATACAGAGGTGCTGCTGCTGCGCCACGGTGGTGAAATGTTAACTTCCTCTCCTGGTATACAGCAGGTCGGTGGTTCGATCCCGATCCTGACGCCTGTATATTTGGAGTTTACGTGTACTACCCGTGGTCGCGTGGATTTTTCTCTGGGTCCTCCGGGTTCCCCCCTCTACATTTAGAATCAACATCACGCGTTTAGAGGGTTTGGTTGCTAAAAACAAAATACACGCGATAAACCACCTCGTTGCGCTATCATTCGTGGCCAGGTCTCATTTGAAAGAGAGCTACACAGCTCAGTGGGCCTTACTTGGTAAAATAATAACAAACAAAAAAAAACGTTTACGTTTGAATCTGCATCGCACTTAATAATGAACTGCGCGCGTACTCGTCCTCTCACACTATTCGTCAACATTGTGGAGTTTTAGAGGATGTTGGCCCGACGCCGTCTCGAGTCTCTGTGATCATCACGACTCCGCACGGAGCGGACTTGTCACGGGGCCCGATTGCTCTGAGCGACAGCCGCTCAAACAACGCGCGCCAGCGCTCTGCACCGAGCAGCGAGCGTCACGTCAACACACAGTGATGGAAAGAGGCAGGTTTAACCAACCTCAGCGCCACGATACCGGTATTGTAATGAGCATGGGCGTCTTGGTTTACATTCCCAATCTGCCGCTTGCTTTAAAAAAAAGAGCATCGGGGAGCTCGTCAAACAAAATAATTCCACCTGACAATCTCGATAGCAAATGAAGTTGCACGTGAAATTCTCATTGTTCATTTCCACGCAGCGGGAATGTTTTATCGGCCTTGGCTGGGGAAAGCATCTCCCTCGTCCGCAGCCCCAAAAGAGCCCCGCAAGTGAAGATGTTCCCCTCCGCTCATGCCTCGACCTCATCGTTACGCCACGGTGGCGAGATGTTAATTACCTCGCCAGGTATGCAGGAGGTCGTGGGTCGACCCCGACCCTAACGCTTGTATATTTGGAGTTTGCATGTTCTCCCCGTGGTCATGTGGATTTTTCTCCGCGTCCTCCGGTTTAGAGTATTTGGCTGCTATAGATTTCCACATGATGAGCCACTTCGTTGAGCTATCATTTGTGACCAGGTCGCTTCTGAAAAAGAGCAGTATAGCTCAGTGGGCCTTAACTAGGAAAAATAAAAAATAGTTTAGTTTATAGAACAACATCGCCGCCACAGTCACCAGCATGAAACTCAGGAATTCCATCGGCCCATTCCCACCGCTCGTTCTTTTAAAAAAAGTCATAATAATGTACACCATGT